CAACACCACCAAGTAAAAACAACGCCCATCACCCCAAAATAAAAACAACAGCACCATCACCCCCAGAGTAAAACAGCACCCTCACCACCAAGTACAACAACAGGCCACACCACCAATGACAACAACACACATCACCACCAGAGTGACACAACAGCACCATCACCACCAATGACAACAACCCCACCATCACCTCCCCCTAAAAATTACAACAATAAAAACATCGCTGGCTATTACCCCCTCACCATACACACTAAAATTGCCAATATTCAGCAGTTTCTCCATCACAGAGAAATATCCAGCAAAAATTTCCCCCAAAATTCCTTGTATTATGGAGGTGTTTCCAGCCTCATACATGTTTTTTTACCCTCGGGGAAAACAACACTGTTTTTTTATTTTTTTCCAATGGTTTTTTTTGCATACTTTTAACACAGAGTGATTATTTTTTATTATTATTATTATTATTATTATTATTATTATTATTATTATTATTATTATTATTATTATTATTATTATTATTATTTATTATTTTTTATTATTATTATTATTATTATTATTATTATTATTTTTTTATTATTTTATTTTATTATTATTTATTATTATTATTGTTTTTTATTAAATTTTTATTTTATTATTATTATTTTATTTTATTATTATTATTATTATTTATTATTAAATTTTTATTATTATTATTATTATTATTATTATATTAATTATTATTATTATTTTATTATTAATTTTTTATTATTATTATTATTATATTTTATTATTAATTATATATTATTATTATTATTATTATTATTTTATTATTATTTATTATTATTATTATTATTATTTAATATTATTTTATTATTAAATTTTTATGGGTTTTTATTTTATTATTATTATTATTTAAATTTTATTTTATTAATTATTATTATTATTATTATTATTATTATTATTTTTATTATTATAAAATTTTTATTATTATTATTATTATTATTGTTATTATTATTTATTATTATTATTATTATTATTATTATTTTTATTGTTATTATTATTATTATTATTATTTTAATTATTATTATTATTATTATTGTTATTTTATTATTATTAAATTTTTATTATATTATTTTATTATTTTATTATATTATTAATATTATTATTTAATTTTATTATTATTATTTTTATATTATTATTATTATTATATTATTATTATTTTATTATTATTATTACTATTACTATTATTTTATTATTTAATTTTATTATTTTTATTGTTATTATTATTATTAATTATTATTATTATTATTATTATTGTTTTTTATGTTTTTATTATTGTTGTTGTGGTTTTTTTTTTTTATTCTTATTATTATTATTATTAATTATCATTATTATTAATGCTTATACTATTATTATATTTATATTTATTTGTTTAAAAATAGGTTTATTACATATGTATGTATACACGAACCAGAAAGACAAACAACACTGCACCCCTGCACCAGCGTGAGACAGGTGGGCACCAGCGTGCAACAGGTGGTGACAGCGTACAGACAGGGGGGTGCACCGCACAGACAGGTGGTGCCCAGCGTCGACAGGTGGGCACCAGGGGCCGGGCGGTGGTGCACCCGCTGCGACATGGTTTACCAGCGTACAGAAGGTGGTCACCTCTGAGGACAGGTGGGGGCCAGCGTGCAGACAAGTGGTGCACCCACGTGCGACGGTGGTCACCAGCGTGCACAGGTGGGGCACCACGTGCAGACGGTGGTTCACAACGTGCAGCAGGGGGCACCAGGGTTTCAACGGGGGTCACCAGCGTCAGACAGGGGGTGCACCAGCGTGCAGACAGGTGGTCCCACGGGGAAAGGTGGTGCACCAGCGTACGCAGGGAGTGCACCAGCGTGCAGAAAGGGGGGTGCACCAGCGTGCAACGGTGGTACAAGCGTACAGACAGGTGGTGCCACGGCAGCAGTGGGGCACCAGGACAGACAGGAGTGCACCCGTGCGACAGTGGTGCACCAGCGTGCGACAGGTGGGGCACCAGCGTGCAGACAGGTGGTGCACCCCCGTCAGACAGGTGGTGCACCAGGGCGACGGTGGTGCACCCGGGACAAAAGGTAGTGCCACGTGCAGACAGTGGTGCACCAGCGTGCAGACAGGTGGTGCACCAGCGTGCAGACAGGTGGTGCACCAGCGTGCAGACAGGTGGTGCACCAGCGTGCAGACAGGTGGTGCACCAGCGTGCAGACAGGTGGTGCACCAGCCCGGTGCAGGACGGTGGTGCACCAGCGTGCAGACTGGTGGGCACCAGCGTACAGACAGTATGTGCACCAGCGTGCGAGCCGGTGTGCACCAGCGTACAGACAGGTGGTGCACCAGCGTGCAGACAGGTGGTGCACCAACCCTAAGTAGGGACAAAAGACAGGTGGTTGCAACACTTACAGCTGGCCACTTCCATGGTACAAACTTGGGAGTCTAGTGGGAAGGCAGACAGCTCATCAACAGGAGAACACCAGCTTCCAAACCTGCAACAACACCGGTAACCTCTTTGTTGCAGAGAGTTGCACGCTTCTTGCACGGCCAGTGGGTTCGTCTGAGGATTCTTACAGGGTTCAGAGGATTATTACATGTTGGTTCTCTTATTAGAGGAGTAGGGAGAGGAGAGAGTGGATTAGTTGTTGATTGGTTTATGGAGGTGGTCAGTGTAATGGGCAACCAAAAACCCCGAGCAGTGTATTGCGTCAACCACAACCGAGTCAGTGTAGTGGTCAACCCACAACCCGAGTCAGTGTAGTGGTCAACCCACAACCCGAGTCAGTGTAGTGGTCAACCCACAACCCGAGTCAGTGTAGTGGTCAACCACACATCCCGAGTCAGTGTAGTGGTCAACCCACAACCCGAGTCAGTGTAGTGGTCAACCCACAACCCGAGTGAGTCAGTGTAGTGGTCAACCCACAACCCGAGTGAGTCAGTGTAGTGGTCAACCCACAACCCGAGTGAGTCAGTGTAGTGGGTCAACCCACAACCGAGTGAGTCAGTGTAGTGGTCTAACCCACAACCTGAGTGGAGTCAAGTGTAGTGTCTCAACCCACAAACCGAGTGAGTCAGTGTAGTGGACAATACCCACAACCGAGTGATTCAGTGTAGTGGACAACAACATCCCGAGTGTGTCAAGTGTAGTGGACGCAACCACAACCCGAGTGAGTCAGTGTAGTGGTCAACCCACAACCCGAGTGAGTCAGTGTAGTGGTCAACCCACAACCCGAGTGAGTCAGTGTAGTGAGCAACCCACAACCCGAGTGAGTCAGTGTAGTGGTCAACCCACAACCCGAGTGAGTCAGTGTAGTGGTCATCCACAACCCGAGTGAGTCAGTGTGTGGTCAACCCACAACCCCGAGTGAGTCTGTTAGTGGTCAACCCCATCCCGAGTGAGACAGTGTGTGGTCAAACACACAAACCAGGAGTGAGTCAGTGTAGTGAGCAACCCACAACCCGAGTGAGTCAGTGTAGTGGTCAACCCACAACCCGAGTGAGTCAGTGTAGTGGTCAACCCACAACCCGAGTGAGTCAGTGTAGTGGTCAACCCACAACCCGAGTGAGTCAGTGTAGTGGTCAACCCACACCCGAGTGAGTCAGTTGTCAGTGGTCACCCCACAAACGCGCGTGAGTCAGTGTAGTGGTCAACCACAACCGAGGGAGTCAGTGTGTAGTGGCTCGACCCACAACAGGTGAAGGCAGTGTAGTGGACAACCCACAACCCGAGTGAGTCAGTGTAGTGGTCAACCCACAACCCGAGTGAGTCAGTGTAGTGGTCAACCCACAACCCGAGTGAGTCAGTGTAGTGGACAACCTCACCGATGTGAGTCAGTGTTGTGGTCAACCCACAACCCGAGTGAGTCAGTGTAGTGAGCAACCCACAACCCGAGTGAGTCAGTGTAGTGAGCAACCCACAACCCGAGTGAGTCCAGTGTAGGTGCAGCCAACCCACAACCCGAGTGAGTCAGGTGTAGTGGGCGACCCACTAACCCGAGTGAGCTCAGTGTAGGCGTTCAAACCCACAACCCGAGTGAGTCTGTGTAGTGAGCAAACCACAGCCGATGTGTAGTCAGGTAGTGAGCAACCCACAACCCGAGTGAGTCAGTGTAGTGGTCAACCCACAACCCGAGTGAGTCAGTGTAGTGGGCAACCCACAACCCGAGTGAGTCAGTGTAGTGGACAACCCACAACCCGAGTGAGTCAGTGTAGTGGTCAACCCACAACCCGAGTGAGTCAGTGTATTGACATACCCACAAACCGAGGTGGATCAGTGTAGTGGACAACCAAAAACCCGAGTGAGTAGTTGTAGTGGTCTAACCCCACAACCCGAGTGAGTCCAGTGAGTGGTCACCCACAACCCGTGGAGTCAGTGTAGTGGTCAACCCACAACCCGAGTGAGTCAGTGTAGTGGTCAACCCACAACCCGAGTGAGTCAGTGTAGTGGACAACCCACAACCCGAGTGAGTCAGTGTAGTGGTCAACCCACAAACCCGAGTTGAGTCAGTGTGTGGACAACCCCACATCCGAGTGAGTCTGTGTAGTGGACAACCACAAACCCGAGTGAGTCGTGTAGTGGACAAAAAAACACTAACCCGAGTGAGTCAGTGTAGTGGTTCAACCCACAACCCGAGTGAGTCAGTGTGTGGTCAACTCCACAACCGAGTGAGTCAGTGTATGGTTCAAACCACAAACCGAGTGAGTCAGTGTAGTGGTCAACCCACACCCTGAGTGAGTTCAGGTGAGTGGTCAACCACAACCCGAGTGAGTCAGTGTAGTGGTCAACCCACAACCCGAGTGAGTCAGTGTAGTGAGCAACCCACAACCCGAGTGAGTCAGTGTAGTGGTCACCCACAACACGAGTGAGTCCAGTGTAGTGAGCAACCAAACCGAGTGAGTCGTGTAGTGAGCAACCCACCCCCAAACCGAGTGTGTCAGTGTAGTGGTCAACCCACAACCCGAGTGAGTCAGTGTAGTGAGCAACCCACAACCCGAGTGAGTCAGTGTAGTGAGCAACCCACAACCCGAGTGAGTCAGTGTAGTGAGCAACCCGCATCCCGAGTGAGTCAGTGTAGTGGGTCAACCCACACCGCTTGAGTCAGTGTAGTGGTAACCCTCAACCCGAGCTGAGTCATGTGTTGTGGTCAACCCACAACAGAGTGAGTCAGTGTAGTGGACAACCCAACACCGCGTGAGTCAGTGTGTGGACAAACCCACAACCCGAGTGAAGTCTGTGTAGTGGTCAACCCAAACCCGAGGGATGAGCAGTGTAGTGGTCAACCCTAACGAACCCGAGTGTGTCAGTGTATTGGAATCCCACAACCCGCGTGAGTCAGTGTAGTGGACAACCCAACAACCCGAGTGAGTCTGTGTAGTGGTCAAACCCAACCCGAGTGATGTCAGGGTAAGTGGTCAACCCACAACCCGAGTGAGTCGTGTAGTGGTCAACCCACACCGAGTCGAGTGAGTGTAGTGGTCAAGCCACAACCCGAGTGAGTAGTGTGAGTGGTCAACCACAACCCGAGTGAGTCAGTGGTTGTGACAACCCACAACCCGAGTGAGTACAGTGTAGTGGTCAACCAAAACCGAGTGAAGCAGTGTAGTGGACAACCCACAACCCGAGTGAGTCAGTGTAGTGGACTAAACCCACATCCCGAGTGATGTCAGTTTGTAGTGGTTAAACCCACAACCGAGTGAGCAGTAGTAGTGGTCAACCCACCAACCCGAGTGAGTCAGTGTAGTGAGTCAAGCCCAACAACCGACGTGAGTCAGTGTAGTGGTCAACCCACAACCCGAGTGAGTCAGTGTAAGTGAGACAACCACAACCCGAGGTGAGTCTGTGTAGTGGTCAAACCCACAACCGAGTGGGTAGTCAGTGCTAGTGGGGACATCCCCACAACCCGAGTGAGTCAGTGTAGTGGGACAACCAACAACCCGAGTGTAGTCAGTGTAGTGGACAACCCACAACCGAGTGCGTCAGTCGTAGTGGACATACCCACAACCCGCGATGAGTCAGTGCTAATGGACACCCACAACCGGGTGAGTCAGTGTAGTGGACAACCACATAACCGAGTGAGTCTGTGTAGGGTCAACCCACAAACCCGAGTGAGTCAGTGTAGTGGTCAACCCACAACCACGTGTGATTCAGTGTAGTGGGAAAACCCACACCCGAGTGAGTCAGTGTGTGGTCAACCCCACAACCACAGAGTGAGTCAGGGTGTTATTTCTCAAAGGGGTTGTGGGGGGACAACCCACAGCACGAGTGAGTCAGTGTCAGTGGACAACCCCAACCTACCCGGTGAGTCAGTTGTAGGTGGACACCACAACCCGAGTGAGTCAGTGTAGTGGTAACACAACCCGGTGTGTCAGTGATTGTGGTCAACCACACAACCGGAGGTGAGTCAGCTGTAGTGGTTCAACCACACCCGAGTGAGTCAGTGTAGTGGACAACCCACAACCCGAGTGAGTCAGTTAGTGAGCACACCACAAAACCGAGTGATGTCAGTGTAGTGGTCAACCCACATAACCCGAGTGCGGTCAGTGTAGTGGACAACCACCTCAACCAGAGTGTGTCAGTGTAGTGGACCAACCACAACCCGTCGTGAGTCTCGAGTGTAGTGGGACAACCCACAACCCGTGTGAGTCAGTGTAGTGGTCAACATCAACCGTGTGAGTCAGTGTATGGTCACCCACAACCCGAGTGAGTCTGTGTCAGTGGTCAAACCCAAACCCGAGTGAGTCAGTGTAGTGGTCAACCCAAAACCCGAGTAGAGTCAGTGTAGTGGTCACCCACAACCCTAGTGAGGTCAGTGTATTGGTGCACCACAACGCCCGAGTGAGTCAGTTGAGGGAAGCAACCCACAACCCGAGTGAGTCGGGTTAGTGTTCATACCCAACAACACGAGTGAGGCAGTGTAGTGGAGCAACCCACAACCCGAGTGAGTCAGTGTAGAGGACAACCCACAACCGAGTGAAGTAGTGTAGTGGACAACCACAACCCGTGTGAGAGGGTTGGTCACTATAGTGAATACTTTCACTCTAGTTAGGACAAGACCTGATTCAGTATACTTCTAACTACTACTACATTACTCTGATACTATGAATATTATTTTTATTATTAGCTTATTATTATTATTATGATTATTTTTGTTATTATTAATATTCTATTATTATTATTTTATATTGATTTATTATTACCTGCTACGGCTATTATTGATAATATTGATTATATTAATAATAATTATTATGTTAGTTGTAATAAGTGAATCTTGAAGGATAGATGAAGGTCAAGCGATGTTAATGGCAGTCAACTTTCTTAATGGTGTCGGGACATGGTATGGTGTCAGCATTTATGGTGTCAGCATCTTAATGGTGTCCGCCTGTTAATGGTGTAAGGATGTTACCTGGTAAAGTTCTTATGGACTGTTCTTGCTCGTTCTGGAATGAAGTCAGTAATGTTGAAATGATTGAGATCTGTG